CATGAGGAATGCAGGCATAAAAGGTTGACCTTTAATGTTGTTTTAGTGACTTCTGTTTACTGAACAACAGAATTTTGTGTATGCTAGCTAGCTTAATGATAGTTTTTCTCCTTTTTTGGTTAATTTGAGATTGTGTTGTGTCAGCTATCCTTCATAATGTGGTCTATTTTTCATACAAATCAGTTGTCATCTGTGTAGTGTATCTATATAATTCTTCTTTAACTTTCTTGGTACATTTCCTAATAAAATAACACTGTCTTGAAATAAAAATGATCAATTACATAATTATAAACATTTAAATCCCAATTGACAACCAGCATATGAATTAAGTAGGAGTACACACAGAAATGCTAAGAATAGAGTCCAAAAGAAGATAGATTTGAAAGACAGAATTAAGAAAAGACTGACTCCTGTTGAATACTGAGGTTTAAACTGGGTTGTTTCTCCTGGATGAAAGCAAGAAATATGCTGAAAACAAAATAAAAAGATTAGGGAAAAGGATGTAGACAGTTGTTATAATGAGTAAGAGAAACAGCATTCTAGTTTCTGTCTAGAAAGAAAAAGCAGTGATTAGCAGAGTACCTGGACTTATTGCAAAATGGACCTAAAAGTAGATCATGTGACTGCTTTTATGATTGTCCTGCCTTTACTAAAAGCTCTAGCAATGGAAATGACTTAATTTAAATGGCTATAAAAATCCTGGAATTAATTCCAGACAGGAGTGAACACATTAATTCCAAAGTCTAAGGATTATTTATTCATGCTGGTTTTAGAGGATGTTCTGTAGCTATGAACAGATCTTAACTTTTCCTTTCCTATTTGACTGGACCACTAAATAAATGCTATAAGACAAAGATGGGCTACATAGTGAAGGTTCAGGTGACTCTGATCTAGTACAAGGCAGGCTGTGTGGTCAAAGGAAATTTGAGTTTTATTACATCCCCATAACAGTTCATAACCTTCTCTGTGTGTCACTTTTAGTAAAACTCAGATTAGTCATGCTGAATGCCCCAAGCTGTTGCACACTGGATATTATCAAACTACTTATTCCATTATCTGCAAAGGACTTCTTTGCCAGGGACCTGGATGTGTCCTGTAAATAATTTCATTTCTGTTTAACAGGTGAATTCAAGGAGCAGCTTTCATGACCGAAAAACATTCTTTCAAATATTTAAGAATGCCTGTCACTTTTCAAATCCTCTGGATTTTGGTTCTCAGGATTTCAGTGTGAAGATCTGTTGTGTTAGGAGAGTGGTACAGGTATTTCTGGCCCTTGGACATTTCACTTATTTGCATAAATTAACCCATTTCACAATTTTTTCTTATCCTTAATTGAATCTGTATAGTCTTGCTAAACCAAAAGCATCCCCATGAGCATAAAGAGGCATTCTGCTCTGTCTGAGGATACGTCTACACAGCAACATGATTTCAAAATAACTTAGTCCGTATCTACACAGCAGGCAGTTATTTCGAAATAATGTCAAAATACTGTCAAGCTGTATGAGGGGTAAGGGAAGTTGGAGAGAAAGTGCTCTATTTTTGAAATAAGTGCTGTGTAGATGCTCCCAATTTAAAAATAAGCTATTTTGAAATAAGTTACACAATTGACGTAGCTCAATTTGCGTAGCTTGTTTTGAGTTAAGCCCTGCTGTGTAGATGCACCCTAAGTGAGGTGGGTATGGGGAGTGCAGCCTCCATGGCACTTCCTCTATCTCCTGGTATTCTGTGGATGCTCTGCACAAAAGGAATGTTGTTATTGGGCATGAGAAGAGTAGGGATCTGTTGTTGCCCTTATCTCCATACTCGAGGACGTGTACACATTAATACAGCTGGGAGCTTTATTTTTACTCTTTAAGAATCCTCTCTACCCAGTAACTTCTATTTCTGCTGTATCAAAGGGACCCAACCAATGGTAGCATGGTTCTTTGGAAGTAGGAAAGGTGAGAGGTACTGAAGCCATTCAGTGTCAGGAGCCATCATTGCATTTGACTCTCCTAGTATCTAACAGATCTTGACCCTTCATGAGACAATGTTCAGGATCTTTTCTTTTCTTTTTGGTCCCCTCCCGTGGGTTTGTCAGTGAGATGGATCAGGACACTGAGTTTAGTTTGTTCTTAAGGGATGCCTCAAGACTTGACCAATACAGAATTCTTTGTTTCAGCTCTTTCTTTGGCGTCCCTCCTCCCTTGTTTCTGTGGATCCAGTGAGGTCATGCCCCTTCAGTACTCTTCCAAGCTGTGTCAATGCTGTAAATTTCAGACTATAGTTAGAAATAAAATGTTCTCCATTTACCTCTTCCATCATCGGAACTGGGAATATTGTATAATATAAAATCTCGTTACAAAGAAGATTATTGGCGCTGTCAGAATGTAGGTGCGGTATTGTTTTTAGTGTGGTCTCATCATTTCTAAGAGTAACCAGAATTTATGGAATGGATTTACCCTCAGTTGAAATGGAGACTTAAAACAAAAGTTAAATAACCACGTTTAAAAAAATGCGTTCAGTGTTCTGGATTTTGGGTTTTTTTCATCATTTTTGAGAGTGCCATTTTCTCATGGTTATATTTTTTTAAAAACCAAAATTAAAAAATCTTGCAGAGTTGAAAGCAAACTTACTATTTTTAATAACTTTATTATACACACCTATTGGTTTGTTTATATTGGGATGCTGACTTTACTACTGTGTTAAAGAAGCATTGACAAAAGAAAAACTTGTACATGTATTTTTTACAAACAGCTGTAAGAAAAGAAATAGTAACTCAAATGTGGATTAATCAGCCTTAAAAAAATCTTCTTAATAGTCATTTTAAAAGTTGAGAGAGAAGTCATCAGAAGCCAGGAAATTAAAAGTTAAGGATAGTGCTTGGGATTTGTCACTCCTACATTTTTAAACATGTCAGGCAGCGGTCACCCCAAAATACCCTGCGGTGAAGGGGCGTTCCGTCGGTGAGCGGATCCTAGTTTTTCTCTAGCCCTTCAGAGAGAGCTACACGGGAATCAGGGCAACCAATGGCCCCTCCCGAGGTTCCTTCTCTTACGGGCGTGTCAATACCACTTCCAATTCAAGTCTGGTCCCAGTCCGCCTCCCCGGGTTCCAGGACTAATCACCTTCACCTTTGGCCAGTTATGGCCTGCACCCAGGGTTCACAGTCCAGCCCTATAATCTGTCTGGTTCTAGTTTCCCACTCAATGATTCCCTGTCAGGCTCCATTCTTGGGTGCCTCTTTCTAACCCTACGGGGCCCTCATGCCCTTTCGTGAGCGGGGGTAGGAGGACCTGGGCCCTCCCGCTCCTCTGTCCAACACTGGAGATATTTAAGAGCAGGTTAGACAGATATCTGTCAGGAGTGATCTAAATAGTGCTTGGTCCTGCTGTGAGGGCAGGACACTGGACTCGATGACCTCTTGAGGTCCCTTTCAGTTCTATGATTCTATGATTATGATGAGTGTGATGGATGGGAGACGTTCTGGCCAGCACCTGGTGACTAAGGGGTGAAAGTCACGTCGCTAGCATGAGTGTTGGCAGGGGGACAGAAGAACCAATGGGAATACTGTGATGAAATATTAATTGTATTTACATACCTTGCCTGCTCTCTTTGAAAGAGAATTCTAAGTTAAGGATTGGAGGGAGCAGATGCTTAATCAGAATTACCATGCCTAAAAGAAATATTGAACTTGGGATTAGTGAACTGGGATTAGTACAGATCGTGAGTAGTGGGAAAAGTGTATTCAGTCACGATCAGGGTATTTTTCTTTGTTTTGGTTGTTTGATTAAACATCTGTGTGTGAATCTATGCCTTTCCTCCCCTATTCTCTATCTAAGAGCATACCCAAAGATGTTCTCTGTATTTTAATTTGTTTTACTCAGTTGCTCTGTAACACCTAGCAACTACGTATGCTTTATCAAGTATATCTTTTTCTTTTGTGGTTAAAAAAAGCACCCTTTTAAGGTAATAATTTAAGTCTTGTGTCCTGGAAAGAAACAGGATGTCTGTCTGTGTATGCATGCCTCAGACTAAGAAGTCAGTTACCAGAGACTGCAGTTTTCTCTTTGTTTTCAAGCTTTCATAGTAAAGGACCTTGAGGGTACCCCTCAGGAAGAAGTCCTAGTGCTTTCCTCCTAGGTTCAAGAAGAAAGACATTTTTCTTTTATTTCACTTGGTGATAGCAGTTACCCTCCCAAAAAGTCAGTGAACTCTGGGGAGTTTTTGTAAGCAGAACCATCCGAGGCAAGGTATTTAAGGTCTCTTGTGGGTCACTATCTTCTGCACTCAGAGTATAGAACAGTCCTGACAATGAGAATAATAAGTTTCAGAAGCAGGCCTTATGTGACAGCATTTGTAATGTTAACCACAGTAAAGAAACATTGTTGGGCCCTCCAGCTGTATTGAAAATATTGTGTAATCTTGGCAGTTTTGAAAGCAACAGTCAGTAAACAACGGAGGTGAGAGTTGTAATACAAGAAAACAGGTCCTGCAATATCATTGGATGAAAAAAAAGAAAAGAAAAAATGGTTCCTTTAACAGTTTTGGTCCTTTGTGCGGGCACTCCTTGTTGGCTGAAGAGGGTCTCACAATATTTACTCGCGTGTCTGCAGGCGAGTCAATGTTCAGTCCATGGCCGGGGTTCAGGCCTCTTCTTTAGCCCCCTTGCTCAGGTGTGGGTTGCGTGGGGGTGGGGGGACCCAGGCCCTCCCGCTCCTCTGGGTCCCGGCCCAGGGCCCTAAAGGTAGGGGCAGCCACCGCTACCTGGTTGATGGGGGCAATCCTCTGAAACGCGTCAACCTCTCGGGACTCCTTATGCCCC